GGCAGATCTCCTCAATTTAAAGTGCCACAAAAATATGCGGTCGTGTAATGAGTGCTAATTTACGGCGGCGTATCTAATGTCCAAGGATACCACAAGGTTCCGCCATTAATTTATTATCTCTATTTGTAATTTATGTACTATTTTATATATAAATAAATCCGCTCAACGCACCTTATTCAATAAAAAACCAGTAAGGAAAGCTCAAAAGTCGGGCGGGGCCGACTATATGATACCCTACACCACTATGCATATTTAGTAGAGCTCTCGTAAAAAGGTTTATACAGGGCATTTCAGAGCTCTATGAGATATTTGGTACAAAATCAAAATCTATCTAATTCTATCGTGCATTTTACGAACTATAGCTATCTCTGCACCGGGTTTCTCTAAATTTGACGTATTAGCTTCTAGACTGAATTCGGTCTTATGTACGAAAATTCAGGTGATTTTGGCTGATATTGACCATTTAGTGCACAATTAACCTGAAATCGTTAAAATAATGTGAAGAGTATGCTAGGCTATGCTATATCCAAATCTGATCAGATTTTGATAAAATTAAAATCGACTATTTTTGGGCTTTATCTGATATCTGGTACCAAATATCATTCCAGTGAAGAGTATACTACGAATGTAAGGGACTTAAAGAGCAAATCGGATGAAACATATATATGGGAGCTAGAGCTATATCTGAACCGATTTTTACTAAAATTGGTGTACTTGCTTATAGGCTGGTTTCGGTTGAATTAGGCAAAATTCAAGCCATTTGGGCTGATATTGGCCATTTGATGCACAATTAACACGAAATCGGATGAAGATATATATGGGAGGCATATCCAAATCGGAACAGATTTAAAAAAAATAAAATCAACTATTTTTGGGCTTTATCTGATATCTGGTACCAAATATCATTCCTGTGGAGTGCATATTACGAATGTGAGAGGCTTAAACACCAAATCGGATAAAACATATATATGGGAGCTATAGCTGTTTCTGAACCGATTTTCTCCAAATTTGTTGTATTTGCTTTAAGGCCAATCTTGGTCACATGATTGGCCATTTGGTGGTCAATTAACCCGAAATCGGATGAAGATATATATGGAAGCTATATCCAAATCTGAACCGATTTCGATAAAATTTAAAACAGCTATTTCTGTGCTCCATCTAATACCTGTTACCAAATATCACGGTTGTGGAGTGCATAGTAGGAATGTGAGGGACTTAAAGATCAAATCGGATGAAAGATATATGGGAGCTATAGCTATATCTGAACCGATTTTCTCCAAATTTGATATACTTGCTTCTAGGCCGAACTCGGTTGGGTGTGCCAAATATTGTTTGGAAAATTTCATCTCAATCGGATAATAAATGCGACCTGCATTTTGTTCACAAGAATACATGGACAGACGGACGGACGGACAGACAGACTGACATGCATAAATCGTCTCAGAAAGTGTTTCTATGAAGGTTCTCAAAAGTAACTATGGGTCTATCTCGTTTCCTTCTCCATGTTACAAACAAATGCACAAAGACATAATACCCTTACCACTATGTGGTGTAGGGTATAAATATTTATAAAATTAATAAGTAAAAAAACATTAAGTTCGACTGGGCCGAACTTTTAATAACCTCCACCTTAGGTTAAAGGAAACACTTTTAAATATAAGAATATCTAAATTCAAGTATGTTTCACTTTAAACTTCACATACCAGTAAGACTTTTTGGATAATGCAGTTAAACTTACCAAAAACTACAAAGTAAGTGAGGCCGTTGCATGGGGGCCATACTGGAACGTCTATAGACAATTTTATACTTCAAGGATTGCCATCTTACAAATCTTCTAAAATACTAAATATGAAACAATTATGTGGGTAAATGTGACTAGGATTATCAAAATACCGAATATCGGTGAATAGCGTTATATGTGCGCTATAGGAAAACGTGGAACTAAATATTCAATGATCTGCCACCGGGCTAGGACCCATTATGAACCAAAAATATAAATTTTTATAAAAATATCGAATATCGAGAGGTACCCTAATGTGGGGCTTAACAAAAACGTGGACCTATACATACAATGTTTCACCACCGGAGCTAAGACTCATTATGAATCACAAATACCAATTTTTAGACAAATCCGTGAAAAAATGTGTCGAAAATCTTCAAAATTGCGAATATCGGGAGGTACCGTTATATGGGGGCTATACCAAAACGTAGACCTATACATACAATGTTTCGCCACACGAGCTAGAGCCCATTATGACCTACAAATACCAATTCTTAGACAAGTCCGTGGAAAAATGTTGCAAAATGATTCAAAACATCGAATATCAAATATCGACATCGGTACACCCCTTCGGTACTTGAACCCCCGCCTCCCCCTTCAAAAGATTAACATTTTCATAGGAAATAGCACAAGATACGGTGTGAATATGGGATATATCGGTCCACTCCTTCTGGTACCTCCCCCACAACGGGTAAAACTTTTAAATGGCTGCGAAGTTCGTAACACGCGAAATGAGCACTCGATTATTTTGGTACATTTCAATATTTCTATCGACACATAATCAGGTATGTTCCATTGTCAGACCACTCCTTCTGCTACCTTCTCCACAACGGGTTAATATATTTCTCACGAAATGTGAAATAAGCATCCGATTCTCCTCAAATTGCACATATCCCAATATTTGTACTAACACAAAATCTGCTATGAAGGTGGAATGTATACGTCCATTCCTTCTGGCACCAATTCGAAATTAGCATCCAATACATCATAAACTTCACGCATTCCAATATTTCTACTAACACAAGATATGTTTTGAAGATGGAATGTATTGACTGACTCTTGCTGGTAACTCCCCCACAACGAATCAACATTTTGAAGAACCAAAACGCTGATAAATGTGAAGTAAGCATCCGATTCCCTTAAAATTGCACACATCCCTATATTTTTATTAACACAAGATCTAGTGTGAAGATTATAGATATCGACCCACCCCATCTTGTGCCTACCCCGCAAATTGTCACAATCTTCAATTTTCGAACAAGTCAGCGATTCTTTAAAAACTTTGTAACCAGAGATCTGATGTGAATATTCAGCGGCTCACTCCTTCTGGTACCTAACCACAAAAGGTTTAAATTTTGATTAATAGTTATTCGGAAATAAATGTTACATTTTCTCTAATAATTTTTTTCAGTATTGATAAAGTGAACTGCTTTGGTCCACTATATCTGGTACCTCACACCCATTTCTATATTTTCCTAAAATTATTACATATCTCATGTAAAGGTGAATGAAGTAGTCGATATAGTAAAAATCATTTATATCAGACTTAGGCCCACTCCTCTGGAACCTCCCACCTAAAGGGTCAATAGTTTGACTAATCATAAGATAAGTCAAAATATATTTAAATAAGCAAACAGTGGATACATCGCACAGTTGGGTGAGATGCCCAAAAACGGAGATTGATTCAGGGAAGCATTCTATCGCTCTGAAATTTTGCTCAGTTATTCATATTACCTCTAATATGTTTGGCATTAAAAATAGGATATATCGGCCCAAGTTTCGGTAAGGCCCCCATATAGCGTTACTTTCTGATTTTTTGGTATTTTGAAGGTTTCGGGCACAATTTCGGCCACGCAATCATGAGTATCTTGACATTTTGAGTTCTGAGCGCACAAAATCTCTCCCTGCTAAATTTTGTGAAGATAAATCCAATATTAAGTATTGACCGTATATAACGGCAGTTCCAAATTTTATGTGTTTTGGGAATTTCTCCCTGCAAAATATATATTGGTTCTTCATAGTATTAGGTATTTTAAGGGTTTCAGACAGAGCTTTTTACAAATTTATTATTTGGCATTTTGTTTCCCAAGGGATGGATGAAAATATTACAAAAATTGCCTATATATATCCAAAATTTGAGTTAAGCCAGAACAATTAATTTATCCTTTATCTAAATCTGAAGACAAAAATACTAAATATTTTTATGAGGAAAAGAATAATCACAATATATACAAAATTGGCTGGCAATTAAGCCTTCCTATCTAAAATAGACAAAAACCTTATAATATATTTAGAAAAAAATATATGTGACTGACATTTAAAAAATCATCCTTATCATCCTCCCTTACATCTCTCTTATTGTCTCAAATTGGATCATTTGCCGACTTTCTTTTGAAATGCCGCTAAAAATATATGAAATAATTTGTAATGAGTACTTTGCCATGAAGAATCCAAAACACAAAATTGAAGCAAATTAATTTGAAAATTTTCCCTGAAATCTTCAATCATCGAAAATTAGATGCGCTAATTGAACTTGATGGAATTTTTTCTACAGGGAAACTTGATAACCGTTGAGATATTTCATTACCTAATCACATCTAATAAGGAGAACCCTTCTATAAAATAATATAATTTAACAAATAATCCCTTTAAAAAATGTTTACCAATTCCATTTATTCACTAATGTAGACCTTGGGTCATTTACCCACCGAAAATATTCGACTTTTACGAATTTTCTGAACATTTTGCTTCAAAAAAAAAAAAAAAAAAAAAAACAACCCCTCATAAAACATGCAGACAACATGAACATCAAGAAGTACTCTACAAAAATGACTGGTCAAAAACTGATTCGATAATAAAACACGACAATACTGGTCATTTCAAAATTGGTGACATTGTGTCAGACTAGTCTGCATGCAAAACTCAAACACAATATTTATGACAAAACTTATGCGATCATAAAAAAGTACACAAATAACACGCAAAACTTATCACATTATCAAGGATATTGTTGTGTAAACTGCTGAACTTGTTTATGATACAATCTTTCATTTCGTCAGATGAAATCCACCCAAAATCCTTTTTTTCTCGTATTCAGCATTTGAATGACAATCACATTACTCATTGACATGTGTGTGCGTGTGTCCATATTTCAACACATAACTCATCTATGTCACAATTGTATGTATGTCGATATGTTGTGTGTGTTGTGTGTACTTACATTTTCCAGTTTGGCCACAATTTCATACATGGTCATATCATTGACTTTTCCATATTGGACAATAAAATCAATGTCATCATCACCAGCGGCGGCTGCGGCGCCGCCAATTTCGGTGGCAAATTCCTTTGCTGCTTTGGCGTTTGCATCATCTGTTGATTTGCCATTGGATTTGGAGGCATCTGTTGTTGATGTCGTTGTAGTCTCACTGGAATTGTTGTTGCCCTCGACATCTGGCTGTGACCATGCCAGCGATATTGTTGAATTTGTTACTTTAGTTGCATGCAAATCGACAACGGGAGCTGGTATATTGTCGGTACCTGTTGTAAGGTGATGAAAAATTTATAATTAATTATTGTTTGCGATTTGGAAAAGATATTAGTAAAATCGACAAAAAAGTGAATTAGAAGAAAATTTATTGCTGAATTTACTATATTTTTATAGGTTCAGCGTTAGTTATCATCTAAATATCCACATGCATACATCATTAATTTTTTTAAGATATTTGCAATTTTGTGTGTTATGTTTGAAATGTTGATAAGAAAAAATTCAAATATTACAATTTAAGTGGCATATCAAAGCTTCATATCTGAGTATCAATTTTTTAACCGAGGTGCAACATCATTTTTATACCCTAAGTCTTATGGATACAGAGAGTATATATCATTGGTTGGGCTAAAATGTGCATTGTCTCAAAAAATCGTATAGACCGGTAATTTTTTTTTTTTTCAAGACAAAATCCATTGATCGCCACCGGATAAATGTAAAGATGGTGAAAACGAAATTCAATGACAATTTATCCGCAAAAGTCTCCTGAAATCATTATGGTATATATGATGTTTGGTGTTATGGAATATGTCAGCCTTAAGGTATTATACCTTTCTAAGTTTATGCAAAGCCGCCATAAAGAGGTATCTCATGATTTACGGCATAATTTGAATTTCGTTGATATATTTACTCCTGACAAATGCAGCTCCACTTTCTGGTATTGATCTCTTTAAAAATAATTTTGATACAGGCGAATGATTTCATTACTCAGGGTATATAAACGGTGCTTACGTTTTAATTTGAAATTTTTAACTTGATATTTGTGTTTATGCGTCCTTCTGTATATTTTGGTTTCTTATGGACCGACCTCACGAAATTTCAAATTTCCAATGGTCCGACAGCTGTTAAAATTATTCCAGTGACAGCTCATTATATTGTTTACAAGCATTTAGGTGAGAATTGATTCAAAAGCATATAGGTATATCGCAATATTCCATTCGGCAAATATTGAAAAATGAGGTCGGGGTAAAGCCATTGAAATTCCAAAAAGTGCAAGAACTTACACCGCAACAGAAAGACAATAGACTCAAAAGAGCTAAAGAGTTCCTTCGCTTGGCCGAAAGTGGTGAACTGCCGAATTTATTTTCTCCGATGAGAAAACATTCGTTGTCCAGCAGTTTGTAAACGAACAAATGATCGTGTTTACCTGCCAAAGAAGTCAGCTGAAAATGTGCACAATCGGTTGACCACCAGAACTCAAGCGTCGGCCATGGTGATGGTGTGGGCCGGCATAACAGCCGATGGTGGTTCTCCGCTCGTATTAATCGACCGTGGCATCAGAATAAATGCCGAATATTATCGCGAAAATATTCTGGAGGGTGTATTAAGGTCTTGACTTTGTTGCAAGTTTTTTTGTCTCACCCTGTATAAGAGAACCAAATATTATTGTTGTCAAATGAATATTACGAATGTGTTACGAATCCTACCATATCGGATAAAATACATATATGGAGCTAAATCTATATCTGAACCGATTTTCTCCGGATTCTATGTACGGTCGGATGTAACAAAATTGAGGACTTTTGGACTGATATTGGACATTTGGTGCACAATTAACCCAACATCGGTTGAAGATATATGTGTTAGATATATCCAAATCTGAACCGATCTTGATAAAATTTGGCAAAGGTATTTCTGGGATGTATCTGATATCTGATACCAAATATCATTGTTATGAAGTGCTTTTTACGCATGTGATGGACTTAAACTCCAAATCGGATGTAACATATATATGGGAGCTATAGCTATATCTGAACCGATTTTCACTTAATTTGATATACTTGCTTCTAGACTGAATTCGGTTGGATGTGCCAAAAATTATGTAATTTGGACTTATGTTGGCCGTTTGGTGCTCAATTAATTCGAAATCGGTTGAAGATGTATGGGAGTTATATCCAAATTTGATCTGATTCTCACCAATTTCAATCGGATTCGTCCTTTGTCCAAACAAATACTATTTGGAAAATTTCATCTCAAATGGATAATAAATGTTGTTCACAACAATACATGGACAGGTGGACGGACTGATGGACTGAGATGCATAAATCGACTCAGAAAGTGATTCTATAAAGGTCCTCAAAATTAACTATGGGTCTATCTACTGCATGGTACAAACAAATGCACAGAGACATAATACCCTTACTACTATGTGGTGTAGGATATAAACTGGTAGCTCACGCATATTTTAACATTTTCTAAAAATTGTCACATATCTTATATAAAGTGAAGGAAATAACCAATATAGTCCGAAACTGGCATCTCGCAATATTTTTATCATATTTATTTAGGTTTGATACGAAATGGGTACAATGTTGGCCCATTCCTTCGGAACAACAATTTAAATAATCATAACAGAAGTTAACAAGTTCGGCCGGGCCGAACTTTTAATACCCTCCACCATTTGCAACGAATTTGGAAATTTTCAAAAAATAAAATCGTTAAAAAATTCTGTTAAAATTTTAAAAATACCGAATATAGCCGTTATATTGGGGTCTATACGACGTGGACATACATAGACATTGTTTGTCATAAGCCATTACCATATTCAAATTCGAAACTGCGCCCGCACCGACAATTTTCTGTCACAGACTGTAGTTCCCATAACGAACTTAAAATACCAAATTATAAACAATTCCGGTTAATAATGTCGCTAAAATCATCAAAATACCGAACATAGCGAGGTGCCGTTATATGGGGACTATACGAAGACGTGGACCTGCACAGACAATTTTCAGTCTTAGGGTGTAGTATCCATTTGGAACTTCAAATACCAGATTTGAAACAATTCCCATGAATAATGACGCTAAAATCATCAAAATACCGAATATCGGGAGGTACCGTTATATGGGGGCTATACGAAGACATAGACTTGCACAGACAATTTTCTATCTTAGAGTGTAGTATCCATTTGGAACTTCAAGTACCAAATTTGAAACAATTCCGGCGAATAACGTCGCTAAGATCATCAAAACACCGAATATAGGAGGGTTACCGTTATATGGGAGATATATGAAAACGTGGACCTACATGGCCCATTTACGAACTTAACCTGCCTACTGGAAAAATAAACATGTGTGCAAAATTTAACCCATCTATCTCAATTCATTCGAAAGATAGCGTGATTACAACACACAGACAGACGGACAGACAGACAGACGGACATCGCTAAATCGACTTAGAATTTTACGCTGATCGAGAATATATATACTTTGTTGGGTCTGACATGAGTATTTCGAGGAGTTACAAACGGAATGACAAAGTTAATATACCCTCCATAGTACGGTGGAGGGTATAAAAAAATATTTTAAATAATCGTAAATTGGCAAAGGGAAAACATCTGTCTGCAAAACCGACTGATACTTTTTAACTTGTTTTCTATAGAAAATGGTTTCATCTTTGAGGATATATATTTATCAGTAAACAAACTGATATATTCAGTTCAAAGGTCAGTCTTTTGTCTGCAGGCAGGTCAAGTTCGAAGATGGGCTATATCGGTCCACGATAACGTCTAGCCCCCATATAACGGTACCTCCTATATTCTGTATTTTTATCACATTATTTTAATTGTCTGAAATTCTACACAAGTAGTTCTTCGTTACTACTTAATCCCCTGAAAGAGAATTGTCAGTATGGTCGGAGATATCGTATATCCCCCATATCACTGTATCTCCCGACATTCAGTATTTTGTTGATTTTAGTCACATTTTTCAATGGCATTGTCTGAAATTCTACACAAGGAGTTCTCTTGTACGCCTATTTGTTTTTGTTGTCATCCCAAGAAATTTCTTTAATACATGTTACCTTCAAGATAAATAAATTTCATCTTTGCACAAATCATCTTACAACCAATAGCTGATTTACTATCCTACTTCTTAGTCCTGTGTTCTGCAATATAATAGAATTTGCATGCAAATTAATTAAATTTTCTTTTCTAAATTGAAAATTCAATTTGCACATTGTATTCACCGGCTACATTGTTGGATGGCCTGTGTTGGCCTGACTGTGTCGAATAATACTTACCCTCCTCCTGGCATTGCAGGATATTGCCCGCATAGGATAGACAATCTGTGGTGGCATTAGAATTGACACTGCCCGTTGCTAATGAAGAGGTGTGGGCCACAGGTAAAACGCCACGGCACAGTGACATACATGTCGAGGGTACACCACGGCGTACACAGCACGGTGTGTGATCACGACCTCCGGCGGCACATTTGGCAATAATGGCTGTAGAAAAGAAGAAAAACGAAAGAAAAATACGACCATTAATTCAGCAAACAGCAGTGATGGTGGTGGCGGCGGACATTGAGAAAGTGGCATTGGCGATGGTGGTAAATCGAACAATGTCGTTGTGGTTGCAAAAGATTGTAGGTCCGCCGGATTTCATTGAATCCATGTTGCAAACGAAAGAAAGAAGACAACTTTGAATTGCTGGGACATAAGTAACAGAAGAAAAGTAATTATTTTCAGTTTTTATGTTATCCTTTGGCCAACATGGCGGAGGACACACACACACAAACACACAATCTCAAGCTAGTTGAATGGCTATTGAATTTAAAGGCAACACTTATAAGGCAAAACTATAATGCCAACAGCCAACCAATATGGCTGTGAGAAAGAACTGGCGGCAACGACAAAACGACAACGGGGTATATAACTTAATTCGTATGCATATCATGTTGCATATAAATCTTATTTAATGTCTTTTATTTCTTTGCCCGGCCATTCCATTCCGAAGAAGTAAGGCTCAAGCATTCATGTTGCCACTGGTGTTGGTGTTTTTGCTGCTGCTGCTGTTGGCCTTGTTATTTATTCTGTTGCTGTTGTCGCTCCATGGTGTTGCAACAACTGCAACTGGTTATCGAGCAAAATAACATTTTAACCCAAACACAGCCAAGAACTTTCATTTTGAGAGGGGGTGCGGATGAGGTTTCAGGCGTCAATGGGGAGAGGGGTTGTTATTCCTTTCATACTTACACATTTGTGCCCGACATGCTGGTCCCAGCTTCTCAATGTCCGACAATTTTATGTTGTAACTGCACAAGGGTACACATTGTGGCAATAGACCAGATCCATGACAGCATTTAGACATATTATAGTTGGGCTCCTCCGTATCGTCAACCTCGATGGGCTTGGTGCGTGTGATTAGACGTGGCGAGGGTTCACTTTTGCCATATGCATTTATGGATACCACATAGAATTCGTAGTAGACCTCTGGTTCTAAGCCTTCCAATATAAGTGGTGGATTTTTCTAAAGTGGAAAAAGAGAAGGAAGAGATGAAGAAAAACAAAAAGAAATGTTGAAAAAAATATGCAACAAGATTAGATGTTGTTGGGGGGTGTTTTCCCCCCACCCCGCTGAGCTGGGGCTTTAGTCAAGATGAAATAAGTGCTCTGAAGTAAGTTTATAAAGAAACATGTTGCGGTTATAAATTCTCAGACTTTGGGTACTTTGGTATGCGAAGTTGCTTAGCAAGCCAGCGCTAACGCTGGCAGAGGCCAAGCAAGCAGTAAGTAGTACGTGTTTAAATTGATGTTATAAATAATGTCAAAGGAAATGAGAAGAAAATAATATATTTCAAAGGGAGAGAGGAGAGATGGAGAGAACAAAATCTAATTTCGTTGATATCAATAAATTTAAATGCATTTTGAAAAGTTGTTCCCCAAAGGAGGGAGGAAGAGGATGTGCATTTTGCTTTAGGACATATGACATTGTGAAAGCTGCGTAGCCCAAACTTCTGTAGTTTTAACTGCAGGAAATAATATAAGTTGAATATAAAATAGCCAATATATAAATAAAAGCCTTGTCCTTCATTCAATATATGTGTATATAGTTTTCAAAATGTGTCTTGACAAGTTAGAAAACATCGCTCCCTTTGATGACACATGCAGGGTGAGATAAAAAAAATGCAACAAAATCAAACACCAAAATTTTTACATTTTTTTGTTTTAATTTTTTTGAATGAAAGCAAAAAATGTCGGAAATAACAACAAATTTTAGAAAAAGTTTAGGTTTGTGCGAATTGGTCATTTTTGGCACGAATTATGGCCTTCAAACGGCCAATGAAACCGTCACCGCGGATGTTGTCATTCCGTTTGTAACTCCTCGAAATACTCATGTCAGACCCAACAAAGTATATATATTCTTGATCAGCGTAAAAGTCTAAGCCATGTCCGTCTGTCTGTCTGTGTGTCTGTCTGTCTGTCTGTCTGTTGTAATCACGCTATCTTTCGAACAAATTGAGATAGAAGGCTAAAATTTTGCACACATGTATATTTTGTCGTAAATGGGACATGTAGGTCCAAGTTATCATATAGCCATATAATGGTACCTCCCGATATTCGGTATTTTGATGATTTTAGCTACATTATTCACCGGAATTGTTTCCAATTTGGCATTTGAAGTTCGAAATGGATACTACATCCTAAGTCAAAAAATGAGCCATGTAGGTCCACGTCTTCATATAGCCCCGATATAACGGTACCCCCCGATATTTGGTATTTTTAAGATTTTAACAGAATTTTAAACGGATTTTTTTGTTTTTTTTTTTTTTTGGAAATTTCCAAATTTGTACCAAATGGTGGAGGGTATTAAAAGTACGGCCCGGCCGAACTTACAGCTTTTTTACTTGTTGGAATTTAAATTGCTTTACCCCGGGCTCATTTTTCAATATTTGCCGAATGCAACATTGCGATATGTTCTGCTCTCGAGCCATTTTTCGGCCATTGCGACGCGGGTTTCGATCAGGTCGCTTCTTTACTTTTCGAACCATTTCTGCTGATGTTGCTGTTTTCTTCCGTCCACTTCCTTGACGTCGGGTTACGCTAGCAGTATCACGGTAACGAACGATGTTACAAGACACAACAGATTTAAATGCTGGAGTGCTCCAACGATAGCCACTTGTGGTTTTCAAGCCAAATATAAAGAAATCACACTATCACGCTTGAATTCCATCACGAAATTTTTTTTCTGGAAAATTCTCACCAAAATGCTTTGTACGCTATGTGAAAAGTATAATGAGCTGTCACTGGAATAATTTTAACAACTGTCGGACGAGTGGCTTTGAAATGACAGCGGTCTGAAGTTGGTTGCAGTTTTTTTCATCTCACCCTGTACATACCCTCATTGCATAATCTATATTAACAAAAGAGTAAAGTGATGGACTGATTGACTGACTTAACGATTCATCAACTCTGGGCGTTAGAGTCTTGAAATTTTGAATGAGGGTAACTTTTGATCCGAAGGGGCTAGATAAGGCTGCGTTTTTGGAATTCCATGCTAGAACTGCACGAAAAGTATTAGAAGTTAATTAATATGGTAGAATTTGTAATTGAGGAAAAAGTAGAGCTAGAACTCTTATATTTAGACTGTAGGTCTCTGATGGAGTGCTTAATAGATGTACCAATGGGCTTTCGGAAATTCGTACCATAAATGTACGAAAAAACCTAAAATGTAATATGTTTGGTACCATTTCGGATTATGTGAACGCTTACCCTTTGTATTTGAACAAGCAGAGGTCTCGATGGAGTGCATGATATACGCATAAAAAGGTGTTCGTACCATTAGTGCACGAATAAACCCTAAAATGTACTACATTTGTTCCCACATCGTATGATGTGAACGGTTAGAGCTAGAGGCTTAAAATTTGGAATGGGAATCAAAGATGAGGAGTAGAGTCGATGCTTGGAGATAGTTTTGCAAATGTGTACCCATGTTACCGAAAATTACTAAACGGTACTAAACTTGGTACATTTTGAATTTGGAGGAACGGATGGAGCTGGAATCCTGAAATTTGAAATTAACATTACAGACAGAGTGTAAGATTGGTATATGGAGGAAGCTCTCGAAAATTGTACTTATGTGCACAAAGAGTACTAAATGTTACTAAAATGGTACTAAATTTGGTACAATTTAAATTTAAGGAGAACCAATGGAGTTGGAATTCGAAAATTTGGAAATAGATTAGGTTGAAAAGAGGGGCGAACCAATCGCCACATGTCCTGGTGGGCATACACTTAAGACAGTTAGGCCTGTTGTGCGCTCTAGACTAAAGGTTGTTGAAAGAAGACTGCCAGTTTACAGTCTATTATATTTGAAATTCTGTTGCCTTAACCACAATCAAATTAAGATCTGGTATGGAGTCGTTTCCTAAATATTGGGATCTAATGTTTGCAAATGCTGGGCATAGGCAGAGAATTTGGAAATAAGATATTGCATTGTAGAACTGAGGTATATAGATAGTTTTGGAAAATCGTACTTATGTGTACTAAATGGTACTAAATTTGGTACAATTTAAATTTTTGGTGAACCGGTAGTGTTAGAATCCAAATATTTAAAATAAGATCTATAATGGACAGTATGATGTAGGTAGTTATGAAAATTTGCACTTAACGGTACTAAATTTGGTACAATTTAGATTTTGGTGAACCAATAGAGCTGGTATCCTTAAAATTGGAAATAAAATTATTTTCGGAGTGTAGGATTAGAAAATTTGAGTAATTATGAAAATTTGTACTTAAACGTACTAAATAAACTAAAATTTGTATTTGGGCAAACCTACACCTCTGTTGGTTTGCCCAAATACAAATTTTAGTTTATTTAGTACGTTTAAGTACAAATTTTCATAATTACTCAAATTTTCTAATCCTACACTACACTAAAATTTGGAATTGGGCTTGCTGTGGTAGTGCAGGTTTGGGGTATGTAGACAGCTTTGGAAATTCGTACTTATATGTACTAAAAGGTCCTAAATTTGGTACAAATTTTAATTGTGATGAACCGATGTAGCTGGAATGCTGAAATTTTGGAATGAGAGTCACTGATTGAGTGCATGATAGTGTAGGATAGGGAAATGTAGGTAGTTTTGGAAATGCGTACTTATTTGTACTAAGTGGTCTTAAATTAGGTACAAATTGGAATTGTGAAGAAGAGATCTAGCTGGAATACTGAAATTTGAAATGAGAGTCACTGATGGAGTGCAGGATAGATGAACCAAAGGATTATTGGAAATTCGCACTTTTTATATAGGAAATGTTTTAAAATGTAACAAAACTTCGAAAATGGTACCATTTGGTATTGTGTGAACGGAAAAGCTAAAAGCTTGAAAAGTGAGTTTAACTTATGAAGATGGTTTCAATTTGGTATTGGGTTAACACATAGTGCTTGAAAGCTGAAATTTGGTATTAGCGTAGCCGTTCATGTGAAGCCTGGACATATGGAGGTGATTTCGGAAATGTGTACTATTATTGTAGAGAAGTACTAAATAGTACTCAATTTTGTATTAGGTGAAGGAATCAAGTTGGAATCCTGAAATATGATAAAGATGTTGGTGTCTGTGGTAAAAAATATGGAGTTACTTTTTGGAAAGTGTTCTATAAATGTGTGGAAAGTACTAAATGTTACTAATTTTGACTAAAGGAATAGGTGTGTAATCCTCAAATTGGATATTTAGTTTACTGATAGTACCTGTGTTTGAGATATGGAGGTGTTTTGGAAAAGGCATACTATAATTGTTCGATAAATACTAAAATTAGTATTGGTTGAAGGGAAAGGTCTGGAGTCCTCAAATTGAATATTGAACCATTTTTTGGTAGCTGGAACTGAGATATGTAGGTGGTTTTGAAAATGTAAACTATAATTGTACAAAAGGTACTAAATAGTACCAATTGTTAGAAAATTACCAGATAGTACTAAATTTAGTCTTGGTTGAAGGGATATAGATACAATTTTGAAATTTGATATTTAGATAACTGTAGGTATATGAGGTTTAGATATGGAGATTGTTTTGAAAATGCGTTCTTTAATTTTAGGAAAAAAAAATTAAATGTTGCTAATATTAGTATTCGGTAAAGGGATAGAGCTGGAACCCTCGAATGGCACAGTTTGTGTCTGTAGTTAAGAGAAGGGGTTGTTTTGGAAATGCGTACTATGAACGTAAAAAAAGTGCAAAATGGGCCGTTGGCTGTTGGAGGTCATTGTTGGTGTCTTGGTTGGAGAGAAGGAGGTGCTTTTGGAAATTCGTTGTATTATTGTTCCATTAGTACTAAATGTTAAGAAATTTGCAGAGCTGGAATCCCGAAATTAGGTATAGAGGTCTCTGTTGGTATCTGGTGTTGAGATCGGATGGAGGTATTGCAAATGCGTACCATAATTGTTCGAAAAGTACCTAATGGTACTAATGTATGTTGATTTGGATATGCGTAATAAATGTGGTATTAGGTGAAGGGAGAGATCTGTAATCCTGAAATTTGAAATTGAGACTAATTCTCTGTTCCAATTAACTAAAGTTATTCCATAGACCAAAGAGCACCCGATTCCCCTTATCAACCACATATTTCCAACTTACCTTCACTACTGTGCTGTAGTCATCACCAACTCCAAGACGTCGGAATTTAACATGGAAAGTGGTAATGGTATCCGCCAAACGTTTCGGTTTATTCCAATCCAAAATCAAGAACGTATCCTTTTTGGCAACAGTGCGTAATTTGGTGGGTGGATCAGCCAATACACCATAACCTTGAAACAGGCAGCTGCTAAACTCCGACATGAAACGTAAACACCTACAACAAAACAAAACAATAAAAGAAAAAATAACCAAATAATTTAACACCCCTGACCATCTCTGCACAAACTCCACTCACTTGAACAAATTGAAATCCAATGTCGACACCTTGCCCGAACACAGCGGGAAACAGGCACTCGGTATACCTCTCGCCCGACAACAAGGCGTATGATCAATATTATTGGCCAAACAACTGAAGGTGATGTTTGACCACGGGGCACAGACCATGAAATCTGGTAGCGTTGCCAAGTCTGTCTTCTGCGGGTCACACATTTTATCCAAACACATTCGGTGGGTCATACCCTTCGATTCACAACAGCTGCGTATGTCGGGCAGATCAGGCATATCCGTCTTGCTTGCCGGTTCTATGTCCACCTCGGTGGTAAGGGAACTTTTGTGGGTAAAGATGCGCAGCCGCTCGCTGGGCAAACTGGAGCCAAACTCATTTTCTGCTGTCACCACAATGCCGTACATTCTTTGCGGTTTCAAATCTGCCACCCGAATAGACGTTATGTTGCCATTTACCGTACGCATAATGACAGTTTCATTCTTTTTCGCTTGGCGTGTTTTGGCCACAGCATCACCCTCCTCTCCTGCCGCTGCAGCATCGTCATCATCATCCTCATCAAAGGAATGCAATTCCGTTAGATTGACTTTGTATTCTTTCACCGTGTCGGGTAGTTTTTCGGGCGGTGACCAACTGACCGTTACACCTGTTTCACTAACCTCACTGATTGTCACCTCCAGCGGGGTGCTGGGTATTTGCTGGACCCCCTGCAGAATGCACTGCAGGCCACTGAGCGTGTGGTGGACACAGGACACCCTCGTTCGCAGCATATCGCCGAACGGCGTGTACTCGCCACGACACATGTCTTGACACAAATCGGGTATTTGCTTCTCAACACAACAGGGCACATGATTACGACCATCCGCCATGCAGCGCACGATCCGTGGGAAATCCTTTTCGCATGCCTCCGGTTCGATGCCAGTGGTGCCGTCCAAAATGTTGTGGACATTACAGAAGCCCATGCAGCTTTGGCTTACGTTGGCACGTTCACAGCATTCGGTAAAATCATGCGTCACCTGGGCGGGTATGGAGGCGGTGCGCCAAAATGAGCGATTGTCCGTCGAGTCCAGGGGTGGTGGGACTAGAAAAACATCACTGTTTTCATCACCTAAATCTCGGTTGGTGTTGCTGTTGGTATTGTTTCTGTCTAAGGTTTTGTATGTTTTCTTAACTGAAGCGTGACAAGCAGGCAGGTAGGCAGTCAGGTAAACAGGAATGGTGAAAAGAGAACAAGACATGAAAAGCAAACGAAATAATTAAAATTAATTGTTCGACATTAACAAAGGGAGGGTAATTCAACGAATTTTAGGTTCCATTTTGAGGTAGGGAAATTTAAATGAAAAGGCATTGGAGGGAGTTTTAAACGAAATTTCAAAGGACTCACAGTATAAGTAAATTTTGCGTTTAAAATAACGTCAAATTGCTTAGATAAATAAAGATTTAAAGTTATGGCTTAAACCAATTATTATATATTATATTTATTATTATTTTTATTATATTTATCTTTTATTAAAACACAAACATTTTAAATGTTGGTATCGTAGCTGTATGAAGGAATTCACATTACGTAAAATAAGTTATAACAGCGTTAAGTGGGGAAAGGACGAACTATTTATACCCTTTGCCATGTCAAAACGTTCATGAAATCAGCTGTCTGAAAACCTCTTAAAAACAATTTGGGGTTTGGGTGAAAAACTACAGTTGGGAAATGTGGTTAAGACCTTCAAAATACCCTTAATTGGGGATATCGCTCTATGGGGGCTATTACCGAAAACTTGAACTTTAATGTCCTAAATACACATTAAACCAACTGGTGACAAAATTGCTCTCAATTTGGCTAGAAATTTCGCTTAAAAGCTACAACAAATTGCAAACCAGGAGGTACTACTTACTGAAGTTAATACCAAAATCTGAATGTATAACCAGCAAAGAGGAGAGGACCTACCAATTACTCTTATTATCAAGTTACAAGATAATTTGGATAGAACTTAGAGAGTCGAAATCTTCTAAATAAAGAAAATCGATAGAAGTGAGTTTTTTCTATTTTGATTTCCTGATTAGATAGCGAAAGTTTTTTGTTATAACAAGTACCACTCCGTTTTACCGAAAGACGTAAACTCTCAGCCTTGCGTCATGATTGCTCAAACCGGTGACCCTTTATGGGGGGGGGGTGTACCAAAGGAGTGGGTAAATATTGTCCATTTCATATCTGACTTACGTCTGTTATAAAAATCACGACAATCCTGATTTGGAGAATATCGACTATTCTCTCTTACTCTGTTATTTCTTGTTATTATTTTCACCAGCAAGTCAGACGGACATCGCTTTATTGACTCCACATGTCCTGAAACGGATTCGGTCCAAACAGACCTAGGAACTAAAACCGTTATTTCGATGAAGAAAATTTTGGCCGTATCATATTACGGGTATAAAAAGCAAACACATAATTTTCACTTGCAGTACATTCAGGATGAGATGGAAAAACTGTAACCAACTTCAGACTGCTGTCATTTCTAAGCCACTCGTCCGACAGCTGTTAAAAGTATTCCAGTGACAGCTCATTATATTTCTTACAAGCGTACAAAAGCATTTTGGTGACAATTTTCACAAACCTGCCTTACCCCCTGGTAAACATTACCATCGTTCTCCACTCATAAACAAACGTTGTTTTTATAAAAACAACAATAAATGGATAAGCCTAACCATTTTGCAACAACAAAAAAAGTTATTCGTGAAGGAATTCAAGAGTGATAGTGTGATTTCTTTATATTTGGCTGGAAAACCACAAGCGGCTATTGTCAGAGCACTCCAGCTTTTAAATGTGAGTAAATCGTTTGTGTCTCGCACCATCGCTCGTTACCGTGACACTGTTAACGTAGCCCGACGTCAAGGAAGTGGACGGAAGAAAACACCAACATTAGCAGAAATGGTTCGAAAAGTAAAAGAACCGTCTTGATCGCAGAGGCCGAAAGTGCAACCGAAAGAAAATAGACCAAAAAGGAGCTAAAGAGTTGCTTCCCTTGGCCGAAAGTGGTGAACTGCCGAATTTGGTTTTCTCCGATGAGAAAGAATAGTTACAAAATGAGGTTCCTCGCTTCATTTCCAGCGCACAAAGGCCACCAAAATCTCCGGATACAAATCCGTTGGACTATTGTGTCTGGAGTATTTTGAAAGCAAGGTTGGCACTAAAAAAATACCAAAGTGTCGATCACCTCAAGCAAGCGCTTCGCCGGGAATGGACCAAAATACCGCAGAGCAACATTCGGCAGCGTGTGACGGTTTCAATGGCCGTTTGAAGGCCAATTTTGTGCCAAAGATGACCAATTCGAACAAAACTAAACTTATTCTTTAATTTGATGCTATTTCCGACATTTTTTGCTTTCATTCAATAAAATTTAAAAAAAAAAAACTAGGCACGTTTTGATATATACCTTCTGCAGCCATATGAGGGTATAAAAAATTTAAAGATTATGGCGTTTGACTTTGTTGAATTTTTTTTTATATCACCTTGTATATTTCATCCAATTTTGTGTTTAAGTCCTTCACATTCGTAATATGCACCCACAAGAATGTTATTTGGTACCGGGATACAGATACAGCTCAGAAATAAGTACCTAAGATTTTGCTAAAATCGGTTCAGATTTGGATAAACCTACCATACATATCTTTATCCAACTCCAAGTTTATTGTGCAAATAATGGCTAATATCGGGCCAATGAAGTGAAATCCGGGACGTATATTTCCATTTGGGGAAACTCGGCTCTGATATATATTTTTTTAACACAATCCTTCTCTAATTGTATTCATGCACTCTTTAGCAATGTTATTTGGCATAAAAGACTAAAATTTCCCGTCAAATTTAGTGATTAGAATTGGATATGCCTCCCATATATGAGTTCTCTCTGAAACCAAACTACAGCTGCCAAATATTGATAGGTAGTATGATCTACTTTAAATAAATTAATTTGTTACGGGAGCTCTACTAAATATGCATAGTGGTGTAGGGTATCATATAGTCGGTCCAGCCCAACTTTTGGCTTTTCCTTACTGGTTTATATCTGCAATAGTGCCGAAGACACTATATATCTTAAAACTCCAAGAAATCTTTACCCGAAACTTAAAAAAAATGTTGATTATTGTGGACCGTGCCCCCTCTATTTAGGGTACTTTGCGATGTAAACTTTAAAAACACCTACATACGTGTTTTCTATTTTCAACTCTATTTTCATACTCTACTGTTGTTTTTTTTTATACCTTCCACCATACATAGTATGGAGGGCATATGAAGTTCGTCATTCCGTTTGTAACTCATCGAAATAATCATTTTAGACCCAACAAAGTAAATATATTCTTGATCAGCGTAAAATTCTAAGACGATTTAGCCCTGTCCGGCCGTCTATCCGTATGTTGTAATCACGCTACAGTCTAAACGAATTAAGATAGGAAGCTAAAATTTTGCACAAATCTCTCTTTTGTCTGCAGGCAGGACAAGCTCAAAGATGGGCTATATCGGTCCACGATATCGTATAGCCGCCATATAACGATACCCCCCCATATACCACCTGAAAGATAATTGTCTATATTGGTCCACGATATCGTATATCCTCCACATAACGGTACTCCCCGATATTCGGTATTTTGATGATTTTCGACACATTTTTTAACGGAATTGTCTGATTTTATTTTTTTTGGAAATTTTCTAATTCGTTCCAAATGGTGGAGGGTATTCAAAGTTCGGCCCGGCCGAACTTATTGCTTTTTTTTTTTTTTGTTATATTTTTGTGTTGCACAGTATTATTAAAAAATTCTATTACCATTCTGAGTGATTTTCTTTTAAATATTATTTATTTATTTATGTTTTTTGATGTCAAAAATCATGTGTCACTAATTGGTTCGGATTTTGAAATCAATATTTCAAATGAATTTCAAACTTACCATCTAATATATGTATACTACGTAATACTGGATCTGAATTTAATTCACAGATGTAGCTTCCTTTATCGGAAGGTTTCAGGCGTTTAATGAGTAGGACCCAAACCTCACCGCCGGACTCGACTTTGCTATTGGGTTCTGTAATCAAAAGACAATATTTCCAATTATAAATATATACAAATAAATTTGTATGTCAAGTCGACCCTTCTCACCTTCATCATGCAGTACACTAACACGCGGATCACTTGTCACGCGGACAGTACCCGCTGTTAGAATTTCATCACCTTTCTTCCATATCACAGTATTGTTACGACGATTCTCTGAGACGACACAGGTTAGCAGGGCATCTTTGCCTGCCACAATGTAGGCAGGACCGCCAGTTGCTGGAATAACAAAAAAATCAGTGATGACCAATGTGAATCATTTCCCAACAAACTGGCAAAAAGCTTATGAGAGCTTTTATGCTGTAATCCACTTATTCACTTACCAATGGGTTCCACGGATTTAACGGTTGACAGCAAACATGTTGATGTTGTCAATACCAACAACAAATTTAACATTATGACATCCGTCACAGGCTACTACAAGGACCACAGCATCATGAGAGAGGGAGGGGCATAAAAGAGAGTGGGAGAGAGAAAGAGAAAACAAAAATATGGTTATTATTTTATTAATAAGGCCATAAATGTAATTATATAATAAATGATAGTACACCAGGACCAGATGCCAACCGCCATTCGTCCATTCCAACTACAAACAATAGCAACAAACTCAACACAATCACACACACACATACACATACATGACATCCATTAATAGATTAATTCATTTTTATGGTTTCGCCCAGATGACGAAAACAAAAAAGCCAAAAGAAAAAATAACAACAACATCGACGCCAAACGGAAGCAAAGGGAATTGAGGCAAATGTATCAACAGTCGCCTGAAAACATTTTTGCAAATCCCTTATGCCCGGATAAACATATGGCTTATTATGACACCACGACCGGAAAGAAATGAATGGGCCGAGATCTGCCAATTAATTGATGGTGTGTATTTCCAGACAAACACACATACACTCACAAAACAGAAAAAAAAACAGCAACACCAGATGCATTAATTAATTCAAAAGTAAATATAAATCCTACAAAATAATTTACGAATGTCAGAGAACTACCAGCAGCAGCAACAGCCATGAATCGGCGGTGTTAAAATGAAATAATATTTATTGACATTCTTAATGATGCCACATTTTTCCATTGTGCGGAATTATTTAATTCTTTAAACGCAACGTTTCCGTTGCGGGGAAGGAAAATGAAGAAAAGAAAACAATAGCCCGCTTTTGATTAAATAGAGGCGTTATTTTAACGGCTTTGTTTTGTTTCAAGGCAAAGCAACAGAGGAATTATTATGAATTTTCTTTCTCAAAATATTTAATGAACTTATTACAGTTGAGGCTTTGGGAAGTATTTCAAAGAAACGGAAATGAAAACCAGTTAGGAAAGTCAAAAGTCGGGCGCGGCAGACTATATGATACCCTACGTCAGTATGCGTATTTAGTAGAGCTCCTGTAACAAAATAGTTTTAATTTGGGAGTATCTGTGAGGTTGATCATACCATCTATGAACCAAATAACATTGCTGTATAGTGCAAGATTATATTATAAAATACTTATTGGAGCAATAGGTATGCCGGACCAATTTTTACCAAATGGTACAATTCGGTTGAATATAAAAAAATCTATTCAAATTGGGCTTATATTACATATATAGTGGACAATAATCGTAACATCGAATGAAGATGTATATCAAAGGTACATAAAAATCTGAAACGATCTGGTTAAAATTTGGCAGAGTCATTTTCGAACTGTATCTGATATCCGGTATCAAATATCATTATTGTCAAGGGCATATTACGCATGTGAGGGGCTTTAATACCAAATCGGATGAAACATATGCATGCTATAGTTATATCTGAACCGTCTTTTTCCAAAATTTGAAGCACTTGCTTTCAGGCTGAATTTCCTCGGAAGTGCTAAAATTCAGTCCATTTAGGCTGATATTAGCCATTTGGTGCACAAAAAACATGAAATCGGATACAGCTATATATTGGAGATATATCCAAATCTGAACCGATCTCGACAAAATATTAAACAATTATTTCTGAACTGTATCTGAGATTATTGGTGCGGAGTGCATATTACGCATGTGAGGTACTACATCTGAACCGATTTCACCAAATGTTATGTACTTGCTTCTTTGCTGAATTCCGGAATTGGCAATTTCAGATCACTTGGACTGATATTGGCTATTTAGTGCATAATTAAACCTAAATCGGATGAAGATATACATGGGTCCTATTTCAAAATTTGAACCGAACTGCAGTTTGTTCACAAGAATACATGGACAGACGGACGGACGGACTGACATGCATAAATCGACACAGAAGACCCTCAAAAGTGACTATGGGTCTATCTCGCTTTCTTCTCCTACACCACTTTGTGGTGTAGAGTATGATAAGCAGCTAAGTTCGGCCGGGCCGAACTTTGATTACCCTCCACTATTTGGACTCCACTATTTGACCTTGAAATATTTCAGCAAATTCCGAAAAATACAGTTTAAATGATTGTACGGGGGCTATTCGAAGACACGGATCTGCATAATTATTTTTTTTCATAGGCTGTAATACCCATTACGATCTTTGAAATTTTAAACAACTCCGGCGAATAATGTCGCTAAAATTATCAAAATACCGAATAAGGGGAGGTAGCGTTATATGGGGGCTATACGAAAACGAGGACCAACACGGCCCATTTACGAACTTAACCTTCCTACTGGCAAAATATACATGAGTGCAGATTGACACACAAATTAAGATGAGCAAATATTGGACTAACTCTATACAACCTGTAGGGGGAAGATTCCCCTCTTCTGCATTTTCGGAAATATTGCAAATAAAAACACGAGCATTTTTTTGGGTAGAAAATCTTAACCCTTACACGGTCTTCTTATACTCTCAGCCATATGGTAAATTTGATACGGCCCAAGCGTGCCTCATCGAAATAATGGTTTTTAATTATAGCTCTCTTTGGGTCAAGTCCGTTTCAGCAAAATACGGACTCGAACTGGGGACGTGTGTTTGTCCGTCCGACTGGTTGGTTGGTGCGCACGATATCTTCGAAGGGAGTATTCGATTTGTTCCAAACCAGGATCGAGTTCGGAGATGGGCAATATCGGTATACTCCTTCTAAAAAAAGGTCAAATTTTTCATGGAAAATAATTTACCTCATAGAACAAGGAAGGATTATCCAATTTTGTTCAAACTTTGCATATCCTAATATTTTTATTAGTGCTGGGTAAGGCGTGAAAATGAACAGTATCCCCACACGGGTCAAAATTTTGAATAGCCAAATTGTTAAGTGCGAAATATCGTTTCTTTCTAACATTTAAACATTCCCAAAATTTCTACTAAAACGATATCTGCTGCTAAAATGGTATATAACGACCCTTGCTTCCGTGAATTCCTCCACAGAGGGGTCAACTTTTTGAATAATAAAACCCTCATAAAATGCGAAATGAGCATCCAATTCCATTCCCCTTATTCTCTTTTCCTACAAACATTTTTCTCAACTAGAGATCTGATGTGTATTTGGAATTTATATGCCCACTCTACTATAGGTCCAGATTCTAAATCTTACATAAACGTAGAAATATATTATATATTTGTAAAAAAAAATATTATATTAATATTAAAAAATTATATTTGTATTAAAAGCCTTAATTTGTGAGTTTATTCACAAATCTTCTAAAAAGCATATGTTAAAAAAATTAAAAATAAAATTGAATAAAAATTTTTAATTTAAATTGCCCAAGACACTATACCTAAATTCGACGGATTTTTAATTCGAAAATTTTCAAAAATATGGAGGACGGGGGAACTTGCCCCATTTATTTTGGTTACTTTGCGATGTAAACTTTAAAAAGCCGATACAAATGTCTGAAAAGTTAGCTCTACGTATTTTTTCCATTATTTTGCAGTCTCTCTACAAGCAACAATTAATTTTGCATGAGCTTAAAGTTTAGAACAGGGCATAAGTCTACGACTTTGGATGGTTATCGGATAATATATGTATATCGAAGCACTAGATATATGGAATCCGACTTTTAACAAATGTCGCATAAACTTCCAGTATAAATTGAGTTTGAGCTAATATTATTTTCATCCGATTGTTCACCAAATATGAAGAAAAACCTTCAAATTGGATGAAAATGTGCATGGAAGCTATCTCCAAATCGACCCTTTTTTCATTGAAATTTGAAAGAAGTATTTCCGATAACTGGTACCAAATATCATTGTCAGGGAGTGCATATTCCGATTGAACTTATTTCGGTAGTATGTTCCAAAATCCACCCCGTTTGTGCTGATATAAACACAATAACCGTAAATAGGATAAAAGTATATATGGAAGCCATATTCAAATCTGATATCCGACCACAATGAGATTTGCAGATGTATTTTTGAGGTAAATATGATATAAGGTTCCAAATATAATTTTTGTGGAGTTCATATAACTAAAATGAGGAAAACATATATATGGATGCTATAACTATTTCGGAATCGATTTTCACCAAATTTGAAGTACTTTCTTCGGGGACAGATTCGCTTTTATGAGCCGAAATTTTTTTCACTTAGAGGAGTATTAAGTATTTGGCGCAGATTAAATGGAAATCGGACGAAAAGATATACCAGGTGAGATAAAAAACTTCAATAAAGTGAAACGTCATAATTTTTCTTTTCTTTAATTTTATTTTTTTTAATTTTATTGAATGAAAGCAAAAAATTTCAAAAATATCATCATTTTTTAGAACAAGTTTAGATTTGTTCGAATTAGTAACCTTTGGCACGAATTATGGCCTTTAAACGGCTAATGAAACCGTCACACGCTGCCCGAATGTTGGTCTGCGGTATTTTGGCCCATACCCAGCGAAGCGCTTGCTGGAGGTGATCGACACTTTAGAATTTTTTAGTGCCGACCTTGCCTTCCAAAATACTCCTGGCACAATAGTCCAACGATTTGGTATTCGGAGATTTTGGTGCCCATTGTGCGCTTGAAATGCAGCTAGGAACCTCATTTTGTAACCATTCTTGAGTGTCGCGTGTTGACTGTGATAGTGCTGAGTCCTGTTGGAATGTCCAAGGTCTGCTGCCATACGGAGAGCGACCATCGGCTATTATGACGGCCCGCACCATCACCATGGCCGGCGCTTGAGTTCTGTTGGCCAACCGAAGCGGCACATTTTCATCTGACCTCTTTGGCTAGTAAACACGATCATTTTGTTTGTTTACAAACTGCTGGACAACGAATGTTTTCTCATCGGTGAAAACCAAATTCGGCAGTTCACCATTTTCGGCCAAGCGAAGAAACTATTTAGCTCTTTTGAGTCTATTTTCTTTCTGTTGCGGTGTAAGTTCTTGCACTTTTTGGAATTTAAATGGCTTTACCCCGAGCTCATTTTTCAATATTTGCCGAATGGAATATTGCGATATGTCGACGCGGATTTCGATCAAGTCGCTTCTTTACATT